ACCCACTATGTGGACATTATCTGTCTTCATATTCAAATGAAGACTCTGTCAGTGACACCCACTATGTGGACATTAACTGTCTTCATATTCAAATGGGTGCTTGTCAGTGACAACCACTATGTGGACATTAACTGTCCTCATATTTACTCAGTGCGATGGGTATTTGTCTGTACTCCCACTGTGTTGAGATTTGACATCATACGCAGTGCTTTGCAGGGTACTTGTCTGTACTGCAACTGTGCAGATTCATGTCTTTATATTATACCACACAATATCAAAACTGTGATTGGCATAATATAACATTTTGCTTTTTCAGATAAATTCTTTTTTAAGTCTTAAAAATGGACTCTGATCATAATAATATATTAGCTGTTTGCTGCACAAAGAATGCCAACAATTAAATAAAGCTAATTTATGATCAGCTATAAAGATCCAATCCAGATGCTGCTCCACTCAACACTGCATTATGATTCCTGTGCAAGAGCTGAATCATTTTGGCACATAGCTTTAATTTGGGACAACAAATGCAGCATAGTGTAAGCTGTGTCTTTTCCCTCTAGAATCCCCCTGTCAAGTTGAGTTATCTTCCTGTCTAGTGCATGAGGGTGAGTTTGAAATGTGACACACAGGGAGAAGAAGTGGGTTTTCTACTTAATTCCTCTCCCAGTTTACCACTTTAAACTTGCTCCTGCTTCTCATGCATCCAAATTTGGGGAACAATTCAAATCAACTAAGTTTGGAGGGCAAAGACCACTAATACAGCACCAAGTTGAGAAGAAAACAGCTGGTTCAAACCAGTCACTGATTTAAGGAATTCCAATTTGGGCTAAAATTTGAGCGGGAACTTCATATTCAACTTAAGACAAGTCTTCACATCTTCAAAATAAAGAAAGGGGAACAAATAAAAAATGCAATCTGAATCAATAACCGCTCAATTGCCATATGATAAGATTGGCACTGATCATGATGCAGTGGAGTGGCATCTGGAATGGCTAGAAGATTGTGTAGTTCAAGGAATTACCCATACCCTTCCCTCTCCTCTAAAGAATCTGGAATTTCTGAGAGTTGGGGGAGGGGGAAGGGGGTGAGAGAAAGAAAAAAATTGCAGAGTTTGTATGGAAAAAAAATTGTACTTTCTTGGGGGTAGGAGGGTCTCTTAAAAACCCTCCGTGGAGAGTGGGGGTGGGGTTAAGGATAATTTCTGGGACTACACATTATACATACATACTGTTTAAGTGTGACCTTTGACCAACTTACTCCATTTTTCATGGATGCGATCAATGACATCTTCTCTATCAATTAACTTAAGTTTTACTATGAATTCTTTGACAGTAAGATTTGGCTTACTTGACACAAGAAGGTCAAACAGTTCTTGACCTGGAAGCTTACTTTGTGATCCATAAGAGCATCGTGTTTCGACTTCCTCAAGGGTATCCTTGGATATATCAAAGAGGCCTCCCATCTCTTCCCATCCTTTCAAACCTGATACTTTTTTGCTTATTTTGACTGAGATGCTACACTTCAAATCATCTGGAATGTCTTTCAATTTTTGAGCATACAGATCAGGAATATCTGGTAAAAAAAATCCATAGAGAGAGATCTTTTTAATATTTTTCAATAAAACTGTGTACAGTGAGTTCAAAATATTAAATGTTGCTGTTTAGTCTCAAAAAGCCTTACAAGACTTGACCAAAAGGAAGTATAAGTAAAATAATATTATATTAATATAATAAGTTATTTCATGCTCTGCCATTAATGACAATTATTATACATTTTACTCACTTCTGATTGGCCAAGAGCCTACAGCCAGTCCATGATATCACATGAACTCAACATGATAAATGTATGTATTATCTTTAGGTTTTCCTGCAGATATTACATTCCTTATATGTCTAGTTCATTCAAGGTCATAATGGAAATTGTTTCCAATATTTCTGTCAAAGCAGAATTCAAACTTGGTTTTATTCAAGTCTTATTCTTAGTGTTTTACAAAATGTATAATAAAACGATTTTTGAATTTGGTTTTCACATGATRTTGTAAAATTATCAAGGCCTTGGCCGTTTTATCCACCTCAGCCTTAATGACCGCCTATGGCTTCTGCCCCTTTGATATTCTGTTTGCAAGTTTGAAACTTGTATATGGAAGCAGCTTAAACAAAGGATCTTATTCACAAGAAAACGACATGTGGTCTGAAATGGGAAAATATTACACCAAAGGTGAAGAGGTTTATTTATTGTTGCTCCTTTTCAAACTATTTACCATAATTTAACTTACGAGTGGCCTCCTCTCCTCGGTGCTCCATAGGGCTTGAATTAGCAGCATGATCTACCATTAATTGTGGATCTTGTTCATCAGACCTAGACCTTGCAGGTCCCTGAACTGCTCTTTCCCCTTGTTGCATTTGATCCATATCAGCCCTTCGTCCATTGGAAGAAACTATCTCTTCCAGCTCTACTTCTTCTCCAAGATCTGGATGCATTGGTGTAGTTTCAATTGGATCTTCTATTTGTTCATCGGTCACCAGAAATCTTTTGCATGAGCAGTATAAAGGGTTTAAATACCTCGTTTTGATCTTCTCCCTATTCTTAAAGCCCATATAGCACAGAAATAGAAGAAGAAGAAGACACAAAAAGGCAATAATATAATAAGCCCAATCTGGGGTTCTTGTTATTATTTCTTTGATAGGTTTTATCACTTTTTCATTTGAATCTGACTCATTCTTGCTGGTCATGTTACTGGATTTCAATATTGGCTGTTCTTTCACTGATGGTGTTCTGGTGGGTATTATTTGAGGGGGTTTGGTTTTCCTTTGTTTTATCATGGTGGTCGGTACTGTTTCATTTGGACCTGAAACATTGCCAGATGTGTTAGAGGATGCTAATATTGGTCCTTCTTGATCAGTTGATGGTCTTACTGTCATGGCTTTTTGAGAGATGGTGCTCCTTTGTGCATGCTTGCTGGGGGTAAAAGGTACTTGTTCACACATTTTAATCATATCATCCCACTGAAACCCATCTATACAAGACCCTTTTTTGCATATGGCATTCTGTGTTGCAGTGCATTTTCTTAAAGTCTCTTGTCCAACACGTGCACAAGGATCGCATGAACGACATGAGCCAAAATCCCTTTGGTCTGAATATGTTCCCATTTTGCAAGGTTTGCATTGCATGGTTGTGTTGTTCTTCAATACTCTAGACCCACATTGTGGATACAGCCCTTCTCCAGGTGGGCAAACCAAGCACTTCACACAGCTACAATCGCTTGAATTACTATTGCTACACTGAAGCGCTTCATTGTATCCACATGAACTTCCATTAGCAGCTTGCAGCAACTTTAATATGAAGATGAAGACAATCAAAACCTGTTATTAAAAAAATTAAAGGTTTTTACTTTAGAAAAACATACCTTTTCAAGACACCTTTTATTCTCTTTCAACTCAATTTATATATTCATCAATAATTTCAATGCACTTTTCGGCTTGCATTGGGCATAACGGTTTCCTATTTTAAACCATTCATGTCAATCTTTTGAAAATGAAAAGCTTTGTTTGAGTTCATATTCATCGTGTGTCTTCTCATGTGCAACTGTTCAACAAAGAAATTATACTCTAGTAATGACACATGGYCTGAAATGGAAAAAATATTATGCCTTATATCAAGTCAAAGGGTTTAATTTGTTGTACATGTAATTAACTATACCCTTATAGTGTGGCAGACTACTGTCATTTATGTACTTCTCTCTACCCCAAAAGCGACATGAGCATGTTCAAACAGAAAAGAACTTTCTCATCTGCCTCTCTATTTCATGTTATTATTGTTTATTTATTTATATATTCTATTTACTGGGATAATTACAGCCTTTCTCAATCACACACACCTAAGTTCTAGCGATTGTTTCTATCATGACAAAAGCGGGTTTTGGTTGATGTCAACAGGGCTGTCAACTCTCCCAGATAAACCAGGAGTCTCCAGATTTTGGACCGTACCCCCCAGTTTCCAGATTAGAGTCTCAAATCTCCCAGATGATCCATGAAGCTGACCATTTCTTGTGAGACTCTTTTCGCATACGTTTTGGTTTGACCTCAGTGAACATGTAGCAAATTTGCCACTTTGAGATCTAGACATTGTGCAAGATCACTATATCCCTTCAGAGGGAGCTTTTAGGACTTTCGCCTTTTGGATTCCAACTTCTAAAGACAAAATCGTAGGTGATAAAATTTCAAAGATTTCCGATTTAGATATCAAACCTTACACTTACTGTACTTTAATATGTACATATCTAAGCGCCTAATCTGAACTGTTTTATGTGCTATACATTGGAGTCAATGAGTATTTTCAGAACTACATATCATAACTAGATATGTACTTCTGGTATTTTTTGCAAGAATGATGTCATATTCATTATAACGTAATCGTGAATGACATCGTATTCATCATGATGTCACCGAAATCATACTATATACGTCATCCGCTGTGACGTCATGTCCCTTCCCTATCAATTCTCCAGATTTTAATATCTCAAGGGTTGGCAGCCCTGCATCAATCAAGGAGTTTGCATGACATTGTCGGAAAATACAAAGTTTTCAAGAGGATGTGCTTATGGAATGTTCTGACAAATGCCTTGACTGACATCCACCAAAACAGTACAGAAATAATATACGAGGCTTCTTTAACCAATTTTTTATGAATTTTAATCTGAGCGTTCGGTTCACAAATTGGCAGTTCACAAATTTTTAAGATCAAACTTGGAATGAACAGAAATTTTCTTAAATGTGCTAAGTAAAAGAATTACTTTCATTTCTAGATGAAATGCTTGTCAAAGACTTCGTACAAAGCCAGAAAACGATTTGATTTCAGCTTGATTTTTAATGCTGGTAGCAGAACCGGATTATATATATGGCAAGAAGTCTGGTTCTAGACAAACAAGCCAGACCGGTTATCGATCTTCAATAAAGCATTCTCAAAAATTCTAAATGGTACCATTTACAGTATTCAAAAGCAAGAAAACCATTTAAGAAACAAAATCATACTTCAAAAGACACTTTTTTGGCGAAACAATTCAATTCTGTTCAAAAGATCTGCGATATCATGGATTTGAACAAGTCATCCCGCCATCTTGACAGTAAAACTACTGAGATAAAAAAATCGGTAACTTATATTTCTGGATCGATTCTTCCCTAAAGTATAAAAAAACCGACTAACAACAGTTTCTTTTTTATTACTACCGACTAAGAATAAATCTTAAAGACTGCATTCGAATACAAAAAATTTGAACGCCGGCCGGCGCCGCCATCTTTAATGGCGACTCGTCAAGAAAGACACTCGAAAAAGCAAAATTTTATCTTATTTCTGAATTGATTCGTCTCTATAGTTACAGTAACAACAATCGCCCATAAACTCTCGAAAGGAAATCCCCGTCCTTCAAATATAAAATGAATCAGCAAAAATTTACATTGCAAAGGCTTTTTTGAGGTATGACTAACCTTGCAAGTTCTAGGTGGTCTACACCTGAAATCACCTTCCCTACGACTAAACTTCATCATGAAAATGTATGCCAAGATCTTGATAAGCTTCTTTACGTGTTTTGGATCAGTAAAATTAAACATTTTAGAGAGCTTTTCCATTCCTCTGCGAAGAAATAGAAAAAACATAGAAACGACGTTTCTGTCTAGGGTCGGGGATTCCCCTTACGTCACGTTAGCCAAGAAATTATTGCACCATCACTTCGTTACCAGATCGTTACGAATGCTGCGGATGGCTTTCTTGAATACGACTGAGGCGAGTACGCTGAAAAAGAAAAAGAAACGAAAACGAAAACGAAAAAGAAAAAGAAACAAACAAACAAAGAGAAGAAAAAAACAAGAAAACATCATAGTTTTTTACTCAGTGTATACAAAAATAATTTCATCGATTTTCGAATCGGTGCCTTCTGCGGGCGAAGGTTTTCCGATTATCCTCGATTCGCAAAAGTAATTAAAATGTTTTTTCGGGGTGTAGCTATACCCCTGGTGGAGTACGACCCTTTTAATAGTAAAAACAAACATAAATAAAACAAGGATATTAATGGCATTTTGATAAAGTGATAATTTAAATATTATATAACGCAACATAAACCTTCTTCGAGTTTTTACAGGTGTAAGGGGAACAGCTATTATGATGTAGTCAAACCTACCTTGCAGACTGCTATATCAACTCAAGTCTTACCTCAAAAATCCAACGAAATATTTCGTTCTTTTTACCTGTTTTGCCTACAAATTCAGAAACGAATTTAAGCTAACTTTAAGGCATCCCAAATCACGGTAGTTCATAAGTTGCTCTTGCTGTTTGTTTTTTTTTTTTGTTTTTTTCTCCAGCTGGAAAGCGATAACCCCTAGAGTGGAGGAGTTTGAGTATAAAATTTGCCGCTCTGTTCTCGCTACTGTGGAAAAACTTGAAAGTTAGCTATGTAATACACCACTCCAAAATAAAAATTGCATCATTACTGGCAGCCGTTACGCACAGTACGTCATGTGATCCACTTATAAATAGAACGATAACGTCATCCCCACCGCTCTAATAGTTCCAAGAGATCCAGATTCAGTAAATTATCGTACGACCAAGAAAGATCCAAGAAAGGAAATCTCCTCGACTTAGTCATTTCTCGATTTTCAAAACTAAGTGAAGACTTTGGCAAGATTAATAATATTGTACGTAAAACATTCGTTGTTATTTAAACATGGTTGGCATTGTGTGAAAAACAGTTCAAAAACAGTTTTAGTCTGCACAAAAAAATGTCTATTGGGCAAAAATGGGAAATGTCCAGCAAGATTGTTGTTTTTATACAATGCGAAAGTTAAAAAGAATTATATTTTTAGTCCAACATAGTCACATTGGCTGCGTTACTTTAGCAACTTGGGGAAACCCCTTATTCGGAAACGCATGCAAATACTGATGTCAATTGCAAAGTGTTTTAAATGACTGAATGGTCTGAAACCTGCCAAGAACACACTTCTTTACGTATCTTCCAGGTAATATCGTAAAATTATCTTCGTTTAAATGCATCTTAGTTGAGAGAAAGATCGTATTAMTAGTTTTATAAAAGCAAGAGGGATTTCTGCTCCAGTTACTTTTAAGTTTCAAAATTCCCAACAGCTCATCGTCCTTTCAAAGTCGGAAATCATGACGCGGCAGATRGGGGAAAAGTTGAAATCTGTTTTTCCATTGATCCACTTTTTTGCAGTTTAGAAAACTTGGGTTTAGCATGATGACATTGTTGTAGTCAGTCGTAGAGTCAAAATACAGAAGAACGAGAATATAAACATTTAAATATGCTGTATTATAAATAGAAAAGCAGTGTTCGATAAAATGCTTAGTTAGATTTTCTTACGATTTTAGATGTTCTGTTTGTTCAAAGGTCCAAACTTAATGGCATTCATCGTGCTTGAAGTCTTTGCATTTGTACTGTATTTGTACTTCACCAGTCATGACTAATGAAACTTGGTTTCTTTCAGAGTTGTCTTTGAAGTATGAAGGCTTCGAATCTAGGAGCAGTTGTGCTGTACTTCATCGTGATATACTCAGACAAGGTAAGCAAAACTGCTGRCAACGAGCCTCGTGACTACCATTACGTACGAATATGTACTACCAAATGTACCCTCACGAATAGTCTTTGTCGCTATATTTAGTTTCTTTCGACATTAGGTAAAATTTTCTCCGGAAGGAAGAGACAAAAGCTAGAATCTTATTCTATTTCATTACAACTTATCTCAATATACTTTGAGTAGCATGAAAATAAAGCTCTGTACTTTTAAAAGCTTTTAAAAATTTCAAAGCATTTGAGTAGACACTGAAGTAAGTAATCTTTATCATTCTTGTTCGTTTATTTTTTCCTTATCTATTACATTTATTTGTATTTACTAATAATAGAATTTACAAAACGCCGATATTGGCATTCATAAGTTCAAAGCAAAAAAATACCAAAAAAGTACAAAATTATAACTAACTAATATATCATAAACATACCAAGGCGAAACAAATAAAGTCTACTGGTATTTTAGAAACATTCCTTTAATTTTTTTTTCAAGGATCAGCTAATTAATTCGGGGAAAAACCCCTAACGCCAAGTGGAAAATGCTTTCCACATTAATCAGTTTTTTACTCAGTAAATGTTCGTTGTTATCGAAAAAGTTGTTGCAAAATAATTCATTAATGTAATTTCTTGAAAATCGTATAAGATTAAGCTTTGTAGCATTTTTTTATTCATTTTTCACATTTTTTAAATGCCGATGCGGTTATTGCACATTTTTTTGCTTCCATAAACATGACGAACTAGGGGTGTGTGGAGACACAATCACACAGCAAGAATGCGCTAAGAGTGCAACAATTTGAAAGAAAGAAAAATCTAGCTTGTTCGACTGCTTGTTCATGTTAACTTGTTTTTATTTGTAACTACATCACTTATCGTATCCTGAAACAACCTCTGGGCTTATCTAAGTCAGGTCACAGCTAAATCGCAGATGGAACCCTGAAACAACCTCTGAGCTGATCAAAGTCTGGGCTAACTCACAGATGGTGCTGGAATTTAGCTCGTTGTGTTTAGCCAGATTGCTTTAATAGATGCAATATCATGGCTTGACTATATTAGTAACTCGTCTTTGCATCATTTCTTGTGTTCCCAGCTGGTTACAGTAAACACGAGCCCTACATGCAGCTGGGACCAGATAACGCGCCTCAGTGGAAGCAATGAGAGCTGCTGGGATTGTCCTAGGTGTCCAAAGGGTCTTGGATTGACCCCCCAGTGTTCGTCATATGTTAGTATCGATGTACCAATTCACTGTGAAGGTTGCAAGAAAGGCATAACTTATTCAGATGTGAACGATATCTCTTCTTGCAAACCATGTACGATTTGTGGGGACAACGAAATRACCATAAGAAAGTGTAACACAACGCATAACGCCATTTGCGGCAAGTGTAAGCCGGGGTAAGTGATTCTTAAATGTCATGTGTCACGCTAGCCTACTCTTAAGGAATGCGTGACGAAATACCACGAGTTGGTGACGCATTAAAAAAGAATGGTCATGAGCCTGATAAMAATTTGTCGAAGTTAGGCAGGGCCTGCATATTTAGAAAGATAGCCACAATACCAGATTGCTAGGACACAAAACAAACAAGAGGGGAAGTATCTAGATGGTTTTTAGAGTTCAGACATTGTCTGGCGATTCAATGGATAACAAAATGGGGGATTCCCGACCGACCTAAGAAGTGCTTGCTTGCATAATTTTCGAAACTCAAGCCGTAGGCTTATTGCTTAGATATTTTCACGTGATGCAAGATTAGTTTCGTTTTTCGAATATCTGATTTGTTGTTATTGAAAAAAAATCCTATTGACCGAAACTTTWAAAAAATACGAAGTGTCTAAATGACMGGCAGCTGGTCACAGAACTCAAATGACTAAATGGCCGGCAGTCGATTTAAAAAAAAAAAATCAAGGTTATACAAACTAAATTCCAAACCTAATGCTCCTAGCTCGATAAAAAACCGTTTCTGGTTCTAGATTTATATCTGGGCAATAGAAAACACAGCTTTTATGTTGTGTTAAAGTTAAGGTAATTCTATGTTCTTTTTAGAGACAAAATGGCCATTTTGAGGGGGATACCCTAACTCTCTCCTCCTCTCTCCAAGAAAGCAGACCGCACCAATATTTTAGGGGAGTGAACACTGCTAAATGTTAGGGAAGTCAATAACTGTTAAATTTCGATCCAAATTGAATTTATACAATCTATTCGAGAAAATATATTTTCATTCCCTTTGAAACTGATGTTTGAGTGATTTTTGATAAAATCTGAAACTGCCGGTCATTTAGTCTCAAGACTTTCGTGACCGGCAGACTGTTCGATTGAGCGTGTCAAAAGTTACAACAAACGACAAACGCTCCAATTTTGATCCAAATACAATTTATACAAGCTATTCGAGATAATATATTTTCATTCCTTTTGAAACTCATGTTTGAATAAATTTTTTTTTAATTCGACTGCCGGCCATTTAGTCATTTGTGAGTTCTGTGACCGGCAGTGTGCATATGTGACGAAAAATATCTTAAGTGCCATGAAAACAACCTTCCAATATAATATGCCGACCGCAAACGAAGCATGATTTTTTCGTTCTAGAACCAGAAATGCAATCGCTTGACGGTTCTTTATCGAGCTAGGAGCATTAGGTGTGGAATTTAGTTTGTATAACCTTAATTTTTTTTTTAATCGACTGCCGGCCAGTTAGTCATTTGAGTTCTGTGACTGGCTGCCGGACATTTAGACACTTCGTAAAAAATATGCATTGTTAATAGATATTTTATATATCACTTCCCGCGAGTCCCGCGAGCGGCCATGTTGGATGRCAGAACGATAGAATCCTTTACTCTGGAGAATTTAGTTCGATAAGTATTGTAAAATAAATGTATTATTCCTACAATACAAAATGACTGCGCCCATCAAGTGATCGCKTAAAAGCTGTATAGAGTATGTAYAATTTATTAGCCGAGGTTGAGRAAAAAACAGGATCGAATTGACATTGTAGCATTCATTTTGATACAGTTTCAAGGACATATTTCCAAGATGGCGTCTGTCCCGGGYMCGGGTGATTCGTCCAYTACCACAGCCCCAAAATGCATTGCATTGCCAACTCAATYCAGTTTTTCYATCAGYCAACCTCGGAATGGTTAATACGACTGTGAGAAACGGTTCGGCAGACGGTACGCGTGCTTTGGACCAATCACAGGGCGCGGTATTACTGCTCGTCCAATCAAAATGCTAGAACACGGTACGGTCACGGTCAAGATAATTTTTAAACACGTATGACCGAGTGCTGAAATAAGTTTCTTTGTCTCGTTTTGATAGGTTCTACCGTTCGATAACCGAAGACTGTTGGCCGTGTACAAAATGTTGCCCAGACAGCACATCTGATGAGCTCGAGCCACAGTGCCTTAACCAAGGCTTAMCRACCAAGCATTCATGCAGACTAGACTTTAAAACACAGGAATGTGCTARGCAATCAACCCCGAAGAGTAATATCAACGAGGATGTTAAGAGAACGAACTATAGCAATGATTCTATTGATGGTCGTGCTGGACGTMATAATRRCACGAYCATCGTGCGTTACCATATAATAACCAAGCTTGATMAAAACATCTGGATATTCCTAGGAATTGGTGTGTTTATTTGTCTTTTGGTTGGAGTAGTCGTTTATGCTGCCAAGAACTGCCCGCGTTCGAGAAATAGACCTCGTGAGTATTTTATAACACTGCATG